TGTTGCTGCTTCTCTTGGTAGCCTCTCTCTGTTTGGAGCTCACACACAGGATCCTGGGGACTGGCCTCAAAGTCTCCTCTCTCCATGCCCTTGTTCCTTCCTCTCATCTTCCTCACCCCTGTGAACCTTGCCTGCAGATACATGATCACGCCTTTCCACCCAAGTGTGGGTTCCATGCTAACACTTGGCCACATTGAGTATTGACTGGGCACCCTCTGTCCTGCGGTGTACACAACAGCCTGGCATGCTCCTCACCCCAAGGGGTCAGAGCCATGGGGTATCTACTCATGCCACCTCTGCCTCACCAAGCCCACCCCAGAAGACCCCTATGTGTTAGTGGGCTCTCCTTTCATTCTCACTGGGAATAAGTCTCTTCTGGACTCTCAGGAGCTAGAAAGTGGGGCTCCTGGATGTTTTAGCTTCTACTAGCCACACAAGAATAGGAACTGATCATATACCATTTTGACATTGAGTTGTCCTTCCAGAATTGAAAAGGGATGTCTGCTGGATCCATTCAAACACTCTCCACTGATCTCTTCTTTTGCCAAAGCAGACATGTTTGCAAATGGGCTGTCCCATTTAGCCAATGGACAAAGGGATGCTCAGGTAGGGAGTGAAACTCAGACCTTGACCTGGAGCTGATATTTAGCCAGGGTGCACCAGCATGTCCATGTAGGTTATTAAAATACTGAAATACATCTAAGCAGTTGGTCAGTAGCCACTGCCAAATGCCCCTCTGTGTCACTGCTGCCCAGTCCCCAACCTTGGGTCCTCTGGAATTCTGCACAGTACCACAGAAGGGGCCTGGCACCCCAGGGATCTCCAGGGGCCTGCTGCAGACCGGGCTGGGGTTCTCTCTGATTGGCTGGTCCTTGAGCCATGTTGGCCCATAGGTTTGAAGATCACCCGACCCTTCCAGCTCGCTAATCACACAGAGGTCTCCCAGACAGCCACTTCAAAAACCCGTGGCAAAAAAAGTGTTGGGATCTATTGTGAAACACACCAAAGCTCTTTTAAAATTATTTCAATGCCAACAAGTCTTGTCACTGAACATAACTGCCTTCAATAAACAAACTCCAGTGTGGCAATCCCAAATTGCCCCTTTATCCTTATGCTTTCAGAAAATAGTATTAATAACACCAACACACACCGAGTACTGCCCACTGCCAAGCTCTGCACTAAGTACTCTATGTGCAGGATCTTGTCAAGTCCTCTCTGTAATATCCTGATTGGTGGCCGTTATTATTACTATTACTAAGATGCGGTGTTGAAGGTTCAGAGAGTTGGGTCATTTGTTCAAGATATCACGCTAGGAAATGGTGGGGCTGGGATCTAAACCCAGGCTGAGTGACTCCAAACTGATTGGTATATAATCTCTTATGTGTTAGTTATTTTGTTGCTGTTCTTATTGTGTGGTGTTTTTTGGTGCAGGAGTCTGTTTTGTGTGGCTGTAACAGAATACCAGAGACTGCGTAAGTTATAAAGAAAAGAAACTTCTCTCTCACAGTTCTGGAGGCTGAGCAGTCCAACATCCAGATGCTGGCATCCAAGGGCCTTTTTGCTGCATCATTCAATGGTGACAGGTGAGGAGGTGAGCGGGAGGTAGGAGAGAGAGAGAGAAAAGAGAGCAAGCAAGAGAGAGCTGGACTTGCCTTTATAACAAACCCACCCTCTTGGTAGCAAACTCACTCCCACAATAGTGACATTAATCCATTCTTGAGGGCAGCGACCTCAGGACCTAATCACTTCTTAAAGGTCCTACCTCTCAACACTGTTGCATTAGGGATTAAGTTTCCAACACATGAACTTTTGGGATCACATTCAAACCATAGCATGTGATCCCCACTATCGTAGCACCCCAGGGAATGTGTGTGTGTGTGTGTGTGTGTGTGTGTCTGAAAGAGACAGAGAGAAACAGGATGGGCATCTGTAGGGTGAAGGGAGAGGCACATGTAGTTACTGCCAGGTCCTTGTCACCCATCATTTGATGTGGTCACCTAGATTGTCCAAGATTGAATGTATGTCAAGGGGGTTGATTGACTTTCTCAGAACCCAGACGAGTGCCACGTGTACACCAGTGCTCTGACAACGCATCTGGATCACGATGGGGTGAGTCAGTAAGTAGGAACTGCTGGGGCCAGGCAGGAGGAGCCTGCTCGCTGCTCTCTGCCAAGATGGGCTGTGCTGGCGCTTTCCCTCCCTCCCTCCTTCCCTATCTTCCTTCTTGCATTGCTCCCCCACCCCCAGTCTTCGTCTTCACGTCAATAGAGAGAAAGGCACTAGAGACTTATTAAAGAGCTACAAGAACTAGCAGCCAGGGCCCAGAACATTCCCAGTTTCCAGATGGTATGAATGTTTGTGGGTCTGGGCAGAATGTGGACCATTCTGGGGGACTCTGATGGTTTTTCCCCCCTGAATTCCCTTCAGAGTGGTTTTCTTAGGGGTGGACAAATTTAAGATGTGAAACAAAAGTTGAAATGATGTAGTGGGGCTGATTCCTTCAAGAGTTCCTCTGCCTCCAGACCAGGTGAAGGCTGTGCTGCATGCTAGTTATTCCCCTGGGGGTGTCCAGGCCACCCGGGTGAGGGGACTCTGTCTCACTCACACCCGGATAGACCAGTTAGCCCGGTTGAGGGGCTCTCTGCCTTCCCCATGTCCCACAGCAATAGCCAAACATCCATTGTCTTTATGTCCAAGGTTTGCTCTGCATTAACAAGCCCCTGACCAGACAACACTGGGGATAAGACAATTACCTTCTTTGTCTTCACCTTCAAGAGCTCAAAATCTCACTTACTGTCAGGGCTGGGATGAGTTGCAAATCCAATCCAATCTAGAAATACCCATTGAAAAGGCTAATCTCAGCTTTGCCTCAGGCCGAATTATGGGAAGCAGGGAGGGTAAGGGAAGGGAGAGGAGGGAAGAAGAGAACAGGCATTTCTTTTGCCTGCTTCAGTTGCATTTTCCAAACAGTGTTGTCTCTCCTACTGTGGGAAGTGCCGAACCATGAGGCCGGGCACCTGAGCGTGGGCAGCTTCTGGGTCGGGGTGGTTCCTTGCCAGCTCCCCCTCCCCAGCAGGGAACACGTCCTCTGCCCCACAGACAGCCTTGCCGGGGACCTAGCCCCACCTTCAGACGGCAAAGCTCTGAGATTCTGTCAACTGCGGAGGGAGACTCGGCCAAGGAGGCTGACATTGCCACTGCGCCACCTGCTGGAAGATTGGAAAAAAGAATCTGAGTCTCCTGGTTGGGCTATAACTGATAGCTTCGCAGTCATCACGATGATTGTTAATAATTCCCATTTCGTCTTATCACACAAGTTACACAGGTTTATTGAAGACAATTTAGGAATTTCATATAAGTAAAACAAATCATGAAAATCGCCCATAATCCTGTCACCCAGAGGTAACCATTGTTTGTGTTTTGTTGGCTTTCCCTTCAGTCTTTTTTCTAGTAAAATAACTAAATTCATACACACTATTAGTCTCATTCAATACACAGTATTTTATAGCTTACTTTTTAAGCTTAACAATATAGCTCAAATATCTTTACCTATCCTTAATTACAATCCGCAACATGACTCTTGCTTAGTGGTGTTTTTTATAGCCCTATGCCATAAATCTAGCGTCTTTGCCTATATATGAATTTACGGTGTTTCTAAGCTGTGAGTTTTCTCTGAGTCTCATTTCTCCCTTCCTTTTCCTCCTCTTCTTTCTCTCCTTGTCCTTCCTTTCTGCTTTATGTTTTCTCTTTATTCATTTCTGTATTTCTCTCCCCTAGCCAAGGTCTGCAGCACGTTGTTCGGGACAATTTCTCGCATCTGTCTTGCTGTCTCACCCCTTCACGCAGCGAGCTCCAGAGACTTTCCACTGGGCCCTGGAGCTCCTTCCAGGTGGGCTCTGCTGTCCCTGCCTTGAAGGACGGGGCACTCTGCACTCTGCATACAGACAGGCAAGACAGAGGCGCTCCCAATCCAGTGCCTCCTCCAGCGTCTCTGTGCAAACCGGGCTCCATTCTAAGAACTTTCCAGGCATGATCACATGTAAGCATCACGAAACCCCTGCAAGGTACAGTCTGGCTGTCCTTCCTTCCTTCCTTCCACTGGATAGCCAAGGATACCAAACTTCAATAAAAGCAAATGGACTTGCCCAAGATTACCAGTTAATAGAGTCTCAAACTCAGTATGCAGTGATTGTCTAGAAACAAAACAAAGCAATATTTCCAGCCTCTCTTCACCAATCAGGAGATGTGGCAACACAGGTTTGCATCCACCCACAGCAACCATTAGCTGGAGCTGAGAAGTGGTGCCCGCATCCTACAAGCACTGGCTCTCCAGTTGCACCACGTGCACCTTTCATATGTTCTCCCCGTGACAGAGGAGGGCTGTGTGCTGCCGGTCACGCTGTGGGACGGGCTGGCTTCAGCTCACAGAACAAGAGAGCTTAAGGGAAGAAAATGACAGGCTCAGGGCCGTAGGTACATTCCTGGCTCTCTGTCTGGGAATCGGGATGTGTCCGTGGCTGCCCTAAAAGAATCACTTATCTCTCCTATCCGTGGGTGTGGGAATGGATTCAGAGGGCACCAGACCACAGACCGAGGAATCATTATAGCTCAGACTGAAATTGTTGCTGTGGGTGCCACTTCCAGGGCTACGGAGTAAACACATGCCCAGGAGGGGTTGTGTTAGCCTGGTTTGGTTGACGGAGGCCTGCAATAAATGAAGCTGATAGAATATGTAAATCCCACAGGGATTGAAAAGCTTTTTCTGTAAAGGGACAGGCAGTAAACGTTTTGGGCTTTGTGGGCCATGTGGTCTCTGTCGTAACTGCTTGACTGTGCGGTTGTGGAGCTAGAGCCGCCACAGACGGCAGGTACATGAATGGGCGTGGCTGTGCTCCAATAAAACTTTGTTTACAAAAAAAAAAATGGCAGAAAAAGCAAGCCATAGTTTGCCAACTCCAGTGAAGAAGAAGAAATAGAAACATTTAGGAATGGGAGTGTTGGCGTGGGTTTAACTTCTGCGAACCAAGTTCTGTTTAAGCTAGGTAGATTTTATTTTTCACAGTAAATTCTATTTTCTTCAACTGAGTCCTCACCCATACATCATTTATCCACTTTCTGCGACTTTTGAAAATGTTCAAAATAAGACTTTTCCCTGGAAACAATCAGGGATTGGAGATGGGAATGCGGACTTGGATTCTCAGACACGAATTGTTTTCTAAACTGTTAGCGACTGGATTTCCAGATGAGCAGAATCCCCGAGGAGGTTCCTCTTTGGACACAGGACTTCTCAGGCAGAGGCAGAATCAACCCCAAAGGGGATTGGACCTGTGAGGAGGCCACGGTCTTCAAAATGCTTCCTTCAACCACCTGGGTGAACAATATCGTTTCACACAACTTCCAGTCCCTGAGAAGAAACCTGAGTCAGAACAAGAAGAGAGCGAAAACTAACTTAAAAAGAGAATATTGAGAAGTCTAGGCATCTCTCATAAGTCTGGAGTCTTCACATCCAGGGATTAGGCTCATACAAGGAGAAAGGGGAGGAAGAAGGCTGCCAGAGAGTGACAGGCCATCGGGGGCTCCTGTGTCTGCGTTGTACTTGAAGCATCTGGTGGTGTGGGTGGTGTAGGGAAGAGGGACAAAGGGCTTTTCCATGCTGGCTTAGCCTAGACAGCATTCTCTAAACTTGGAGGGGAAGGGGCCTTAAGAAGGCAGGGGGTCTCCTCTGTTACAAGGAACTCATCATCCCGTGCCCCTGGGGACGTTGACTACTACTAGATGATACCAGTGCCCATTTCCAGTGAGCCCTGACGTGGGTCTCACGTGCTTGTCAACACAGCGCTCCATGCAGCCACCTGCAACCAGTCAGGGTCAGACCTTAATACTAATAACGATAATTACAGCTAATACTTAGAGGGCATCTATTGTGTCTCAAGCACTAGGCTGAGTGTGGTTTACATGTTAGCACCTCTAATTCTCACAACACTATGAAATAGAGTCTTCCCTCGGTATTCATGGGGGTATTGGTTCCAGGACTTCCGTGGATACCAAAATCCATGGATACTTAAGTTTCTTATATAAAATGACATATTGTTTGCATGTAACCTACACGCATCTTCCTGTATACTTTAAATTATCTCTAGATTACTTATAATGCCTAATATGATATAAATGCTATGTAAATAGTTATAATACTATCTTGGTTTTTTTACTTGTATTATTTTTTTATTGTTGTATTGTTATTTTTTAATCCTTTTTCTCCCCAAATATTTTTGATCCATGGTTGGTTGAATCTGTAGATTCAGAACCTGCAGATGAGGAGGGCTGACTGTGGCTACTATTATTTTCCTGTTTTTCTCAAGATGAATTCCATTTTCCTGCATCCCAGATTCAATCCAAATAACTTATTTTACATAAGAGAAAATTGGTCACATTGTAGCAAGGCGTGGAACCAATAAGAACCCAGATCTCTAAATAGCCAGTCCATTGCTCCATACTGTTTCCTTGGCAGGTACATGGTATATTAGCATACAGGCTAAGCTGCTATAACAAAGAAGTACCCAAATACACTGGCTTAAATAAAAGAGAAATTTCACTTAATGCTCACCAGACATTCCTAAGGTGAGCAGTTCGAGGCTGATGAGGTATCTCTGCTCCATCAGATCATTCAAGGATCCAGGATCTTTCTATCTTCTTGGTCTTCCTAGGGTATTGTCCTAAAAGGGATAAGTCTGATTCAATTACACACTTGTCTTCCAAAATAGGAGAAGAAAAAAAGTCCAGGACAAGTTGTTTTGTCTTTGTGAACATAACCCAGAAATTGCACAAACACTTCTCCTCATATCCTATTAGCCTGAAATTAATATCTGACCCTCTGTCCTTAACTCTCTCCTGCAGCTGCAAGGCAGACTGGGAAATAGAACTTCTTGTTAGGAAGCCATGGGCCCAACTAAAACTCAGGAGTTCTATTAATTAAGAAGAAGAGTAGAATAGGTAGAAAGTAGCCTAAAATTGTAGCCTGTCTGTTGATCGTAGTAGAAGTCAGAAGGTTAGAGCTTCTGCTCTAGCTTTCTTTCCCACAGTCTAGAGTTGCCCCACACTGCCAAATACAGTAACCACTGGTGCCTAGCATCTATTAAAATTAAAATTAATTAAAATTAAAAATTCAATTCTTTAGTCACACCAGCCACATTTCAAGTGCTCAAATGGCCATATGTGGTTAGTGGCTACCAAAGTGGACCATGCAGATAAATAATATTTTCATCCTCCTGGAAAGTTCTATTGGATAGCACCGATCTGTGGACTGTGCGTCTACACACAAAAGACCCTGACACTTCCAGGCCTCCCTTTATGAGACAGTTGGAGTTTTATCTACCAGAGAGGGTTGTAAGAGGACGTGGAGATTGTTGAGGGCTGAAGCTTAGAGATTCGACTCTGGATAAATTCCGGTGCCTGGAGAAGCTGAGTCGAGCTTGCAACTGTGAGATATGGTCAGGCCTATTTTCTCTTTAGCTACTGTGCCCCAGGTGCTACCCCTGGCCTTTTGGGCTCAGCCACTGTTGTCACAGATAATTCTGCAGGCCACAGAGAGAAAGTGAGAACCTGGGCAGGAGTTTGTGGTTGACACATAATCCTAGTCTTCCCAGAGGTAGCAAATTAAGGTCTTCTGTAAACATCTGTTGTTTTCACCTCTTCGGTGTCCGTTTGCCCTTCTTTTGGTCACAGCAGCCCTATTTCCCTATGAGATGTAAGGGGTCGTGCTTCCCCTCTTGCAGTCGGTGTGGCCTTGCTGGACTCCAGGACCCTGCACGTGACTCAGGCCTGGCTGATCAGAGTCGCGTTAAATGGTCCAGGGGTGGCCCTTGCCCCAGGCGGGATCAAAGAGCCTGGGGTTTCTGTTGGATTCATGGGGACAGAGACACTCTTCTTATCCTAGAGTGGCTAAACAGACCAAATATGGGCCGTAGAATGCTTCTGGCCATTTTTACCACCGCGAGAGAAGACCCCAAGAGGAATGAAAATAGCAGGGAAAATGAGAGCCACAAAAACTAGAGCAACAGATTCCAATGACAAGTGGTGAGCCCTGGAATCTAGCTTATGCCTGAAGACGATCTACTCCTGGACTTTTCAATTTTGTAAGCTAATAAAATTGCATTTATGTTTAAAACTGTATGCGATGGGTTTCTCTTACTTGTTACAGAAAGAGTCCCAATAAATATGGAGTCACTGCCTGAAGACCCAAGTTTCTTGCTCTTCCTCCCATTGCGACAGCTGGGCACGCAGCCCTTAGTCATCTCACTCCTCCTCCTGAGCCTCTCAGCGGGGCCAAAACACCATCCACAGGCTGCTCTTACGTGGCCTCTTTTAATGTAGTATTTATTCTACCTTGATTTCACTGGGATATGAGTGTGTGTGCATGTGTGTGAGCACGTGTGACAGTGGCTCTCAAACTTAAGTGTGCATGGATCACCTGGAGGGTTTGAGCAACACAGTTTGCCGAGTCCCACCCCCAAATCTCAGCATTCATCAGGTCTGGGTGGGACCTAAGAATCCACATTTGTAATAAGTTCTCGGTGATGCTAATGCTGCTGTCCAGGGACTATGCTTTGTGAACTGGCATTTGGGGCAGAGAGTAACACCTGCTGTTGCTAGAATGTTTTACAACATTTTGTAAAACATTTTTGCTATTTTGCTGTTTATTTTAATCACATCTTATGGTTATCATGTAAGATAGGTAAGACAGCTATTAATGATATATCTATTACTCTGACAAGAAAACGAGGGCCCAGAGAGATCAAATGATTTACCAAGTACAGACAGCTAGGGCTTGCAGAAGCTGAAAGCAAAACTCAGATCTCCTGACTGGATTATTTTTTTGCATGACAGTTTGCTATCTTGTATGAAAGTGCAATCCATATTAAGGAAGGAAGGAAAGAGAGAGGTAAAGAAAAGAGAGGATCAAGGATAGATGGGGAGAGAGAAGAGACAAGGGAGAGGAAGGCAGAGAGAACCTAAAACTGAAATCCTGGGAAGCATGCAGCATACTGAACACCATCACAGGCTTGGCGTGCGTTAGTCCTGGATTTGGTCTCAGTTCTGGCACTTTCTAGTCCTTCAACCTTAAGAATAGTTCTTAATCTCTTTGATCTCCAATTATAAAATGGAGATGATAAAGCCTACCTTGAAAGATTACTGTGATGTTTTTCAGTGAAATAACACGTGCAAGTGTTTAGCAAGAACCGGGCCCAGAGTAAGCTCTGCATACATGTTAGCTGTTGGAATTTCACTTAATCCTCATAACCCTTACATGTTAGATGCTGTATCAGTGAAGTGTAGACTGAGTCACTGTAATAAATAACCTCTTTAGATGACTTACAAAATAAACAGTTTATTACTCTCCCACATGACAATTCGGAGGGAATGTCCCACGTTGAACGGCAACTCTTCTGCACACAGGCATTCAGGGACTTGGGGTGATGGCAGCTTTTTCAATATTTGGCTTCCAAAATCTCTCTGGTCACTGTCATTCTGATCATCTGGCCAACAGAAAGGGGAAAGATGATTAGAGGAGGTCTGGCCTGGTCTTCAGGTGTCATCCCTGAAGGCACACATGTCTCATATTCTATTGCAGAGATCGAAGTCACATGGTCTCATCTGGTCTAAAAAGAGCTGTTGGAAGAAAGTCCTCCTTGGGCCTCTTGCGTTCCTGCACGTCTTGCTGGGTATACCAAGACTTCAAGGCCCTCACTGCTCTTTTACCCAGGCTGTTCTTAGGGTTGTTTACACAAGCAGTTGTCTTAGGAAATGAAATTACATCTACCCATCCCTTTCCCCCATCACCAGGGACAATGAACAAGCTTGCTTATTGCTTTCTAGAAAAGTGATGGGCTCCCCAACCTTGGCGCTCCACAGTTGCAACACTAACCCACTGCGTGCGTAACATCCATCTGGGGCCATAACATCACCCCCATGAGACCTGGGGGCAAGAGGAGCCCATGCAAAAATGCTGATGCTGCTTGATGTGTCGTGCGTATGAAAATCCTTTGTCTCTGACCTAGGAGTCTCATGTCTTCTTGTCAGCACCAATGAAATCAGTCACAAGCTAACGTATCAGCTTGTAAGTAAGGTAAAAACCAAATCCCACACTCAACAGGAAGCTGAGAAATGTGGTCCCTACCTGGGTAGCTATGTCTTAGCTATAATTTTAGACCTACAGAAGAAGGGCAAAAGGGATTTTGGTGATTAGCTAGCAGTTGCTTTCAGAGATGGTCTTGTCACCAGTAGGAAGTGGAAACTCATAGAGGTGAAGAAACTTGCCCAAGCTCTGGCAAAAGGCAGAGCTGGGATTTGAACAGGTCTGTTGAAATCCTTCTACTAAAATGAGAAGACGCAGCACAGGAATCTATTATTACAGCCAAGCAAACACATGTACGGAGACCCATTTACTGTGAAGCTAATGGTAACCCTAACCCACCTTAATCCTTACCCTAACCCTTCCAAGGCTCTGGGAGAGGCCCTAGCAATGTGCGCACATGGGATTGGAAGCTGTGCTAAAGAGCTTGGGCTTTACCGCACAGGCAATAGGGAGCCATCTGAAGTTCTTGAGCAGGGATATTACATTGTGACTGCAATGTGGGAGATGGACTGGATGGATGGAGGCACTGAGGCAAGGACGCTGGTTAGGGGACTGTCATCACAGTGCCTGGCCCAGAAGTGGTGTTCAATGTGTGCTGAATGAACGGCTCTGGTGAAAATGATAATGGCCTGAATCAGTAGAAGGGCAGGACACATGGGGGTGGGTGGGCAGGCAGGTAATAAATTCATACAACATCCCACGCTTGGGAATGATACATATTATATTCAAGATGGCAGTTACTTCTAGGGACAGGGAAGGGCCTGCGATTGGGGAAGGGGTCAAAGGGACCTCACCTCCATTGGTGACATTTTATATATTAAGCTGGGTGACATGTACATAGGTAGTTGCTAGACTGTACTTTTTTTATTTTTAACTTTTTATCATGGAAGTTCTTTATACCTTTTGCGCATCTGAAATATTTCCTAACAAAATGTGTAAAAGACAGGTTAGAGACAGAATAGAAAGGAACAATCTGTGTATACAGCCTCTCCCAGAGATGTTTGCATTTTAGCAGAAGACAATTTATTAATACTCGAGAAAGAATTCTGATGGAGGAAGATCTAATTCCAGGAACCTGTAGGTAGGAAAGATATTTCCAGGAGAAAAACGAGTCTCTGGGCCTGCCTGCAGCCACGTGTGTATGGCTGGCTCTGACCGTCCTCCCCAACAGCACACAGGGCAGGACTAGGGGCCCTTAGGAGGGCAGACCGTACCCACTCCCTGGCAGAAGATCTCCCCAGCAAGCCAGGGGTGTTTGCTCTGAGGACCCCTCAAAGAGCATGGCAACAGCAGCCATTTTAGTAGTCATACCTCTTGCCCCAAACTGCCCCAGTTCTCTCTATGAATTTTTCTTAATTTTTTTTTTTAAGCCAAGATGAACATGCTAATGTTTCTCCTCTCTTCAGCTCCACATCAAACCCTGGTGCACAGCCTTGCATTATTCATGAAGGTTTACATTAATCAAATGCTTCAAAGTTTCATAAAGTTTCTATTTTGGAGCACACATTCTTTGTAGGGCAGGCACTTAGTGGACAATGGGATCGTGTTTTGGAGCCTCTCCAGCATTCTTAATTCCCATCTGCTTTATTTGCTGCAGCTGTTTTACTTCTTCCCCAGAGACCACATCTCAGAATTCTGTGGCATGTAGAGTGTTTTCAAATAAATGTAAGCACCAGGAAATGTTTTGTGGGTTGAGTAGATGCAAAAAAAAAAAAAAAAAAAAAAAGAAAGAAAGAAAGAAAGAAAAAAAGAAACAATATTGAAATAGTTACACTAGGTTTGTCTTCTCTGCCTAAGGTCTCCCTGGGATGCCCACACCTCGCTGGCTGCAACTTGCCCTCCAGTGTCCCTTTCTCTCTTTTTTCCTTCAAGGTTAAATTCTCGACTTTTAGCTGAGCCACGTAGACTAAAGACTACATTTCCCAGGTTTCCATGGCACTCCCTTGCAGTGGCCAGGGGACCAAGTTTCTGACGGTGGGGTGTAGCAGAGGTGATGCCCGTGACCTTGGGGCATGCCCCCTCTTCTGTCTGCCTTCCGTCCACGCTGGCGGAGCTTGGACTTTGAGGAGGAATCAGGGTGCTGAGTACCAGCGACAAGGTAGATGTTGCTGAAATCCCTAAACCCTTGGCATCCCTTACCAGCCTGGATCTCCTAAAAGGAAGAAAACCACCATCTTGTAGAAGACGCTGTTTTCTGGGGGAGGGGGGAGGTTGAGGGGATAGGGGAAGATTACGACACACTAATAATTTACTCTTTAAGGACAATGTCTTCTGAGGGATTTGTAAGAAATATTTGAATTTGCTGATCAGAGAGTATTTAACTGGTATAATACGCATGGTCCGAAGTGGGAAGGACGGATATAAAGATGCCAAACCCTGGAAGCATAAAGAACCTGCTGCACAGCATTCGACTAACTCACTCCCCATCTCTTTTGTCAATACCCACAGTGTGAGCACGAACACACAGAATCGCCCAGGGGCATCCTCTGTTGTACTAGCAGAAAAGAGGAGCTGATCCAACTAAGCAAGAATAACATGCCTCCAACACCAATGAATGGTTGAATAATATTGGATTATTGGTATTTTTCTTATTATAAAAGCACAAGAATAAAAATCATCAATAATCCCACTACTGAGTTATTGTTTAGATCTATTTCTTCTTAGTCTGTTTCAGTACAAATATAGATGTTCATCATTTCATAAATGATTTCATAGTATATATATTCTTTATAGTTTGCCTTTACCCCTTTTTATATGGTAAGCATTTTCACTTGTTATTACCAGTTCTTCTACAATGTGGTTTTAATTTTTTTTTTTTTTTTTTTTTTACTAGTACAACCTCTATGGAATACAATGTGGTTTTTCAATCATGCTTACTCCAGACTGTCACATGGCTACACTCTAACTTATCATCCAATCCCCTAGTCTCGGATACATATTTTTTTTCATTTCCTTCCTTCTTTTTTTTGCTACTATAAATAACACTAGGATGAACATCCTTGTAGATAAATATTTGCACACATCCTGATTTTTTTATATTAGAGTAAATTCCTAGAACTGGAATTCAGGAGGATTTAACCATGGTTGCTGCTATTCCTTTTTTTAGACCCATTTTGATGTCATTCATATTTCACCATCTTCTCTGGTTGGGCAACTCTCAATCAGGTTCTCAGAACAATAAACCCATTGTCTGATTTATGTTAAATAATATGAGAATTTGAACATTTCCTGTCCTGAAATATTCATAGGTTTTTGTTTTCATCTTCTACCATTGCAAGCAGTTAAAAACACAGTCTGGAGAAATGGCATTTTTCTTTCAGAAAATGAGTTGGTAATTTATTCAAATGAGGCTGGGTAGTTGTTTTAAATTATTACCTTATGCAAACCACTAATGAAATGAAGTCAGTTTACATCTTTAAATAACCTTTAATATTTGTACAAGTAAATATCTCCGTTTGACGATAATGCAAATTGTCAGAAATTTTCATTTTCTCACAGTTTAGCTCACTCACAATGGCTGTCAGACAGCCAAATGATATGACTCAGAGCATTGCTAATAGTTTCAGCTGAAGACAGTAGTATTTCAAAGGTAAGGGAAAGGAGGTGCAGACGCTAATGAAGTTTTATTATCAGAACACAGAATTAGGATTGTGACAAGAGACAATGGTGGCAATGACATGTAGTTAGAATGTTACAGCTTGTGAAGTCCCTAGCTAAATATCAGGGACAGAAATATTGAGAAGGATAGACTGATGAATACCCCTAAATGGAAGCAGACACAGATCAGATCTCAGTTTATCTGGCTGGAAGGAAAGCAAAATACCAAAGCAAAACAGACAAACAAACAAAAAATCCCAGAAAACAAAAAGCAAATCCAAGGCAATCTATGATCTACAAAAGAAGCAAGGTTCAGGGTTGAAGTGCCATAGCCACATGATGGGTATGTTTGCTCTCAAAAACAAGATTATGAAAGCTGAATCCAATGGATCACAATCATACTAAGGATTCCAGGTTTGAAATAGTGCCTTATCAGTAATTTGTAATTATTTTTGTGGGGGAGAGGAAGGGGAGGGGGAGAGAGGGAAGGGAGGGGAATAGAGAAAGGAAGGTGAGGACAGTCCATCTTCCTCCAAAATGGTGCCCTCAGACGTCAATCTCATGAGACGGGCCCTTCGGAACAGCCCTTGTCATTTATCTTTCATTCATCCAATTGATAGATAGTGACTGCCAACCAAAAACAACGCACCGACCAAACAAACACAAAGCACACAGGAGTAAGAAACACAAAGAACCCGCCCGCAAAAAAAGCATGCATTGAGGGAATTAGAGAAATAAGAAAATATCACACAGCACTACATGCTCTATAAAGAATTATAACAGAGTGAGGTGACACAGTGCTTG